CGCCCTATATCATGAAACTCGTTTCAGTTTTGGGCCTGTGTCCATCAAGACATTCTTTAAGGACGCCATGACATATTGCATATACAACATTCAGCGGCATTGACCGAAACCACTCTTTCACTTAAAGCATATATTCGAGTATAACCGATACCGACTTGCACTGCCTATATCTTGGGACCCGTTTAAGTTGGGGGCCTGTGGCCATTGAAACATTTGTTCAGGATGCTCAGATATATAGACTTTTCCCATAGGCGTGTTGCCGGGTCCTTTGATGCTTGTGTTGGTGACCACAGATCCCGAGTGATAAGAAACAAAAATGAAGCGTTCCATAAAGACTGTCTGAATAAGTAGAAAAGTATTGTTTCCATCAGGTTTGATGGAGAAGCATGTCTGCCTTTGCTAGTGTCAGTTCCAATTTTATCACCTGATAGAAACATTTATTTTCAACAAGATGAGGCATCATATACGGCCAAAACCACGAAAAAATGGTTGCAGGATAATAATATTTCCGTCCTTGACTGGTCTTCCAGTAGTCGTGATTTAAATATATATTATCGAAACTGTATGACGCAAAATGTAGCAGCAGTTAAGAAATGATCCACAATGAAATATTTCTGATTTACGAGTAAGACTTCAAAATACATTCTTTTAAGGCGGAAGACTGCGAAAACCTTGTTCAAACTATGCAAGCCAGAATTAATACTGTTATTAAGGCAAAGGCGGGAGTCTTAACAAGCTATTGAAAAGGTTCGTCCGAACATATTTAACTGTCAGCCAATTATTGCATTGTTATCAATATTAATTTAGTTTTATAGTTTAATATCATATTATTTGATAATTTCGTTAATATGATGTCGAAACAATACATACAGTGACTTACAAAAAAAATATTTTGAAACCTTAAAAAAATAAACAAACTTTAAGATAAAATTAGATAATGTCCGAACTATTTTGAGTTATGGCTAATATAGGGTTTTTACCTAATAACGCTGCGGCATGGATACTTTTCAAGTTACGTAATACCCCTGCCGTTCTAAATCCTTTGGTTCTGATCACAATTCTGATTCCCATCTATCACATCTCTTTTATGATTAAAGGAAAATAACAAATTAAATCCTTAATTTAATATTGAGTTTCGCCTATTGAATAAATCACACAAACCCAGCATACCGCGCACAGCCGACAACAGGGACTCCTTGAAATCACAAATACCGTGCTTATAAATACGTTGTCAAATGAATTTTGGTGCTAGCGGCACTCCTAGACCAATTAGAAATCATGTGGTATGTAGAAAAAAGTAGTGATCAAAAGCATAGTTTAAAGTGAAGAGGTGATCTAATTTACTAGATGATTACATAAATCAAATCCAAGCGAATAACCAAAATTTCTGTGTTATGTGCCGCGGTTATAAGATGGTTCAAGATGACACACGGGTTGATGACGTCAGTTACACGAATCGCTTGAACGCGTTGGTTTTAACCGCGGTTTTGTTGCAAGTTGTTTATTTTAGAAAAGCGCGTATATAATCTCTGATTATTTTTATTATCACTTAATAAGCGGTGCTTTTTCGTCTAGAACTGTATATGGAAAGTTTAAATAAGAAACCTTTCATAATATTCATGGGCGAAATGTTTTTACAGATTTTTTTTTAATGATGGAGCCATGGCTTTGTAGCTATGATAACTTTCAATTCTCTAAAATTTTTTGCATGTCAAATAAAACATTTATTGATTCAGCAGAAATGATGAAAAAAGAAATTAGAAAAACCGTATACAGGTGGATATCATCTAGTGAGTTTATATGGCCATATTTTAATATTCTTCTTGTATATGGCTACACAGGATACTTTGTTAAGGATAGGAACTAGATTTAAAGTGTCCCCAACAACCGTAATGAGTATAACTAACAAGGTGCTCCACTTTATGGTAAAACTGAAGTCAGCCTGTATCATTTTTCTCAAAAATGAAGCTGAAGTACAATAAAAATATCCAATACCCGGAAAAATTCTAACTTGTCACATTTCAAATAATAACCAGAAATATAAAACTACTCTTGAGTTGGGTAAATACCACAATTTTGCGGTGATAACTATGACATATAACAGCTGATTCGTGACGTCACGGATCTTATAACCAAACTGATAACTACACTCGCTTGAACGGATTGGTAAATACCAACCCAAAATGGTAAATACCATTTCCATTTGGTTATCCGCTTGAATTTGATTATTACATACCTAACAACCCTGTTCGTACAGCTGTCACCAACCTGTCAGTGATTGTGACCAAGATCCCGCCGCACAAATTCCATTCAATCTGCTACGCTGTTTAGACAGAATTCACATGGCCGGATCTCAGACACAGTCACCGACCACTGTACGAACAAACCAATTATTTATACATATAAAGTGAAGTAAGTTAGGTGGTAAATAAAAGTTTTGGTAAACGCCTTTTGTTGGTATAAGTTGATAGGCAAATGTGTGCGAGGATTATAGAAATATAGTTGTCGTCACCGTTCTTGGCGGGTGAAAGTAAGACTACCAATATCCCTTTATATATCCCTATCTCCCTCATACATACACATGCAGCCTACCCCTGTGTGTGAAGGGTTGTTCGGTAAGCTGAAAGACATACGTTCTTTAGTTGTGTGGTACGGAGACTCGATCTGCCTACTTATTTCATATGACGTTGATGATGTAACCGCCAAGAACGCTGACTACGACTATATCTAACATAGCAACCGACTACAAGTTTCAAAATTAATTGACACATGTTGAGTATTCCGCAAATATTTACGACTTCCGAAAAAAAGAATGTTGATTTGTGCGTGTAATTCCAAAAGAGTCTATTACCAGATACCAGTTTGAGTCTTGATAATAATGAAATAATAATAATGTATTCATCTAACGACAGTACAGCGTTAAACCTGCATTTATGACTTATAACACATTTTTCAAGCGATATCTATCAAAAGTCAGGCTTTAGCTCTGACTTTCGTTAGACGCACGACGCGCACAATAACAGCAACAGTGTGATCTGAAAAAACATCACTGATATTATTGTTTACTATCGCTGGATGAGACGGGTAAACAATTAGTATCTACAAATCTTAAAATCTAAGTGGCCCCTCAAGACGCGGCACCATCGTCAGACATTTTGCAGACGTACAAATGAAAAGTTCACGAGCAACTTTTTCTTCAGTCAGCTGCGGCGAGGATAACGGAAAGGAGGAGAGCTGGGAACTGTGGAAAATTCACTGATTACGAAAGATGGATCACCACGCAACGGATAGTCTACCCCATAATTTTATGCGTTTATGACGTACTCCGAACATATCGTTAGACTTTGTAGCGATATGACAAAGGTATCACTATCTACGATTTTAAGGATTATAAGGAAAAAAAACGTAATGTCGGTAGTAGCAAAAAGTCAAAACAAGTAGTTTTAAATTATGATGTTAAATATGCAATCCGTCGGAAGCTGAACTCGTTTTATTTGAGAAGAGAAATACCGACAATAAGTATACTACAGCACGCTTTGAATACTGACGACATCCTAACAAAAATATCCCAGCGTGTTTTGCTAAGAACTTTACGAGATATTTGAAGGAGAAGAGGAATAGCGCATTGATCGAAAGGGATGCCATAATAACCTGGCGCAGGGAATATCTGAAAACAATACGCAGTATTCGCGTAATGGGAAAACAGAATATTTACTCGTATTATTTGGATGAGGCATGGTTGAATGAAGGTCAGACAGTCAGACGTCTTCGAATCACGAAGTATTGGAAATTATCATGAAGATATGCACGCACAAGTTTTAGAAGATTAGTTCAAAGCAGTTTTAGAAATTTATATTTGGCTAGTATCAAAAAATAGACCATGCGACCTATCGACGTTCAAAGCAGAGTTGATGCAAATCGCTCGTCAGCACAAGGAATAACAAGGACAAAGGATTCCACCACTGCGAATTCACCCAATCGAGTTGATATGGGCTCAAATAAGAAACGAGGTAGCGCGTAGTAATACTACTTTAAGATGGCGGTGACAGTGACACTTCCTGTTCGAAAAATGGTGTGTCATAAAACTGCAGCGCAGCTGACTACCATTTGTTCAATTGAATATTTATTTATTATTCATAGACGTTTTATATTTGTTTTTAATTTTTGAATAATCAGAATTTATTGCTTAATTTTTGTGCGTCTTTCAGTTTCAAAACTTTTTATTTTTGTATATATTTGTATTTTTAGGTTTTAGAGAGTAATCACATTTATTTTTAATTTTGTTGAATCTGAGAGACGGGAGGAGGGAGGGACGGAACTCGATATGGCGTCCCCAACCCGAACATGGGCTAGCTGAGAGCTGCATTAGCGTTCTGACAAATTAATCCGTTTTTCCTGTAGTATTAATCAGTTACAGTTCGCTGCTCTAGCTAATCTGTTTAATGATGACAGAGTTTGCAAAATGTTTGAAGTAATTCTACTTTTAACCCTTTCCGAAATGGAAATCGTAGCGCCACTGTGGGGGGTCTCTCTTCAAAGAAGTCGGCAATATGTCCTCGCATTCCATTGCTGTCAACAGTTTTGAACTATAGAAGCTCTTACAAAAGAAATCGCCTATTCCTGTTACAAAATACAGCAAAAAACATGTTACCATCATCAATGCCGAGGTGATTTTCGAAAGAAAATCCATTATGACTCATTTCTCAGGTTTCATTTCAAATTCGACATGTCAACTGTCAAGCGTTTTGAGCGTTCCATGTACTATGCTTCCATGTCATGTGCATGTCATCAATGATCGGTTGCGGTTCCGTGTTCCTCAGTGTGCGTGTTCGTGTTCCTCCTGAAGGTCAAAATCGATTATCAAAATTCCATAATTTATTTTGAAATGATAATAGAAGTAAGGAAATGTTACCACAATTTAATTACTTTCAGTATTACTAATAAGGTGGTCTGAAGAAGGCGTTCCGAGTGCTAGAAAGTAGAAACCAGCTGTACCAAAAATGAACATAGAAATAAACAGATTGCAGACGTTCAATGAATGGCCAGCTCATGCTGAGGTAAACCCCCAGAGAATAGCAAAAGCAGGATTCTTTGCTACAAAACAAGGTTTGGAAGTAGAGTGCTTTGCATGCCATTTGAAAATATCTGAATGGAACTATGGAGATCAAGTAATGGCGAGACATGCTGCTTTGAGTTCTACATGCCCTTTTGTAACTAATCCAATTACCTCAGGGAATATCCGATACTTTCCACCTTTAGTGTACCTACGAGCTCGTCTGATCCTTACAGCGAGTCAGTGGAAGCAAGACTAGCATCATTCGAAAACTGGCCCTCATCAAATGTAGTGTCTCCTGAAAGTCTGGCAAATGCTGGTTTCTTTTACTTGGGAGATGGTGACAATACAAAATGTGCTTTCTTGCAAAGGAGTAGTTCGGGCATGGGAGCAAGGTGATAATCCAGATCATGAGCATAAAAGACATTTTCCCAATTGTCCATATGTACTAGTGTGATCAACAAAAGATGTGGACCTGTTGCATTTTATAAAAAACCTTTTACAAATGCTCAACTTGTCCAGAATGATCAGAACTTGGATGAACTGGGAATACAGACTCATAAAGGGCCAAAGAGGTCAGACTTTTCAACTGTAGAGTCAAGATTACGTTCATTTATTGGTTGGTCTTCAGAATTGATTCAGACTCCTGAACTTTTAGCACAAGCTGGGTTTTATTATGAAGGTATAAGGGATCAAGTTAGATGCTTTCATTGTGATGGAGGGCTAAAGCATTGGGATCCACATGATGATCCTGGACTGAACATGCTAGATGGTTTCCAACATGTGCTTTTGTGAAGCTTGTTAAAGGCCAGGATTATGTGACTGCTTGTGCTAGAAATACTGCTGTAAGTTTACTGTCATTTACTTATTACGATTATTAAGTCTGAGTAATCAGATTGTGTACACAAATTCACAACCGTTTTTCAAGGACAAACATTTTTGTTTTGTAGAGGCATGTCTTAACACTTGGCAGCACATTTTTTGTGATTTATACAAGTCTCATCACAGATGATGTCCCCTAACAGATTGGTACACATGCAGTATTTATTGTGATTAATATGTATTCATCATCAGACATGATATAGGTACATGGTGTCCTGAAAAATAGTGATAAGCTGTAGCCCAGAGGTAGGGCACCCCTGGTTAGTCCAAATCACTCTCATGTATATTTCATTTGGGTGTTATGATTTTTATTCTGATTTTCAAGAATTTTTTAAAAGGTCTAAGCTTATTTTTTTCATAACTTCAAAAAAAATTAGATAAATGTCTGCATTTTTATGATTTAGCTAAAACTTAAAGCTTAACTAACATGAGCACAATTAGATCAAGTAATTAATATATTTTAAAGTAAAAAAAACATAACAAAAACATCCAATAACTTTTTTAAGAACAGAAAAAATGTTTCTCTTTCATTAGTATTTTAAAAACCTCTTTACTGTATCAGATGTTAACTATAAAAATTTCATTAAAGTATCTTAAATCTACTAGGAAAAAAAGTGTCTCATAAATAAAATGTTCTATTCACTGATCTCCGAATCTTTTACATAATGTTTTTAAAATCACCACCATATTCAACACACAGCTGGTATTGGGAATTAAAATGTTTATCGCCTATGCTCAATTGTTCTCAGAAATTGGGTAGTTGCAACATATTTAGACTTTCAATAGACCACAAATGGTATCGCTAATATGGATATCTCAGACCACAAAATTTACTGGAAAAGTGTTCATTTTCTTGTTGGCACTGCAACATATCCTGGCAGACTATCACTCGTTGTGAGTAATCCTCAGGTTTTAATTCTGTAATCTTTGGATATGGAAGGGATGGCTCTGATGCTTCTCACATTCAATTTCCTCTATTACCGCTTCTATCATCCCTTCCGGTGGCATTACAAATAGACCCTAGTCTGGTACCAGATACTCGACCTTCCATCTAAGCATGTCGAACTGTATAAATTGTGCGATCAGGCCATCTCTCGGGACACGACCACCACTTTGTTCTACCTGTTTCCAGTATAATCTTACTACCTACAAACAATTTCATTTTAAATATCTTAATAAAAGTGCATTTCTTCATAGTCATCACTCTCTCAATTTGCAGCATCACATGAAGCTTTGGTCTTCAGATGCGTAATTAAAAAAAAGTAGTTCCAGGTCACTGGAATCAAAGTCGGTATGAGTAGCCAGTTAATTGAGAGTTCCAAACAGTAGTCCAGACTGAGTCGCAATCAGAGTCTGGTAAATGGCAATTTTCGTCAAGCTACTCAGAAAAACAGACCACAGAAATCGTAAATCCTACTGTAAAGCTTTAAAACTATTTATTTAGTAACAATACAAAAAACCATAAAATACTCCCACCTTGCTCTAGTACTAATTCATTGAGGCAAGATGTCTCTTTCTCACACCAACCTGTCCGGCTGTGCAGGTACCGCGCGGCGAAGGACCCACGAACATTGTTCAAAATGATAATAAGTATGTTTCAAATATACTTACTGTTTTTAGAATTGTTTTGCCTGTAACTAAAAATTTCTATTGAACAGTTATCTAATTTTAGGTTCAAGGGGAGGCCATCTAGGTAACTATGGTTAGAATTTTTTTTTTACTAAAATAAATCGTGTAATATACCGCGTAGGACTCTGTAAATCAAATAGCTATGGGATAACCTACAAGTTAATCTCCCATGTTTATCCAATCAAACCCTATGTATTTAAAATTCTTTTTATTGTAAATTTTAAGGTCCCATGGGACCTTCTTTTGTACAAAAATGACTTTTTTGACTATTTTATTTATCTGTCATCCAGGTGACACTTCGTTTGTTTTTTATTTTTATTTCCACATTCCAGTCCAGGTCCGCCTGGGGTGGGTATTCCCGCTCCCATGAGGACGTTCAGCCGTCCAAAAGGACAAGCGAGCATGAGGTTATCTGTTTTTTAATCTACCAGATAAGTCACCCTCGACCATCGTTTCAAAAATGATAAAAACCCTTCAAAAACGCGAAAACTCACCCAGAACTGTTGTCGCAACACACTGGTTAATCGTTATGCAATCTTTGACTAAAATGTTACAAATGTGTTGTTTATGGATCTTAAACACTACAAATAGTATGTACTTCGACATTTAGGGGAAACCACGTTGTTTGTCCCGAGGGAAAATAATATGAGACACAACAATTTGGCCTTGAGATGGCATAGTAAAACATCTGCGTCTTTCAGATCCAATAATAAAGCAAGAGAAAAAACCTGGATAAAAAACTTATGGTTCACTAGTTGGGTCACAGTCCACAGAAGAACTAGAAAGACAATAAAATTGTTGTTTAACCCTTCGGCGGTCGCGCTGCGGTACTCCGTGCCGCGTTTTTTTAATTTATTCTAGTTACTGAATAATTTTTCGAAGCACGCCACTGTCTCCCGAGGTATGCTTCGTTGGCTATATTTTGCAACGTGTACCTACGGGAACGGAGATGGAAATGCTTCCTTTTAGTGTAAATCGAGACTTTTAGTGAGAAGGCGCAGTTTGCGGTACTCCGTGCCGCCACGCGACCGATCATGTGAGTATTATGTTTGGTTATTAGTTTGATATAGATATCGCTAAAATATATTACAAAACCATTATATAATATATAATCTTTGATATTTTAGGGATAAAAAGAGACCACTCACTGAACCAGAGCTGCAAGAGATCGTCGACAATTTCTCTGATTTCGATGAGGATATAGTAGACTTTGCAGATGAAAGCAAAGGAGAAGAAGAAGTTATTCAGTACAATGTTTACGACAGCGAATCTGAGCAATCTGCCGTTGAGGACTCGGACTATACACACGAATTGGAGAATCAAGGAGATAAGTTCTTTTACATTGGAAAGGACGAAGAGAATGTTTGGAAAAGCACTCCTGTGAGTTTTACCAGTAAAACTAGGTCTAAAAATATAATCAAGATATTACCAGGTTCAAAAGGAGCTGCGAAAAAACAAAATTTTGCAAGAGATAGAGATTGCAAAATAACTTCGTCCACGGAGATCCAGGCATTAGTCGGCGCGTTATATATAATTGCAGTAAAGAAAGGAAATCGTGTAGATGTGCGAGAACTGTGGAGTACAGATGGAACTGGAATGATTAGACTTCGGGCTGCTTTTAGTTACAGAAGTTTTTTATTCCTTTACGATTTGACAATATCAACACCAGGACAGAACGCCAAAATATAGATAAATTAGCTGCAATACGGGATATTTACTCCGATTTTGTAAAGAATTGTATGAATAATTACATCCCTGGGGAATTCATTACCATTGATGAAATGCTTCATCCGTTTCGGGGGCGATGTGGGTTCGTGCAATATATGCCGCAAAAGCCGCCAAAATACGGTATAAAAATATATGCTTTGTGTGATAGTCGCACCTATTATACTTGGAATCTTGAGATTTATTGTGGGCATCAACGAGATGGTCCCTTTCAGACAAGTAATAAGCCATTCGATATAGTTCGAAGGTTGGTAGACCCTTTAAAAAATTCCAAGAGAAACCTGACAACAGATAATTATTATACGAGCTATCCCCTAGCAGATTATCTTTTGCAAAATGGCCTTACGTTAATAGGTACAATAAAGAAAAATAAAAAGGTAATACCCTCGGAATTCCTTCCGAATAAAGCACGAATAGTTGGTTCTTCATTATTCGGATTTCAGGACGAAATTAATTTGGTATCTTACGTACCCAAAAAGAATAAGGCTGTGATAATTCTTTCTTCTGTTGATGACAAAGGAGAGGTTGACGAGGCAACAAATAAGCCAACCATCATTTTGGATTATAACAGGACGAAGAGTGGTGTCGATACTGTCGATCAAAAATGTGCCACTTATACAACCCAGAGAACCACTAGACGATGGCCCCTTGCAATATTTTTCCGCATTCTTGATGTTACTGGGATAAACGCTGAAATTGGATTCAATAATACTAAACCTACAGAAGAGTCTCCTAGAAGACGAAAATTCTTAAACGAATTAGGCGTGTCTCTAATGGAACATCATATGGCGGAACGGGCGAAAATAATTACACTTCCAGGTACCTGCAATAAAGCAAAATGGTAGTGGACGTTGTCATGTTTGTAGTGCGCATAAAAATAATTAAACTACTGTTAGATGTGACTCATGTTATCAGCTTGTATGTAAAAGCCATTGCAAAAAAACAGTTCAATGTGATACTTGTTGGTATACCCCGATGGAGGAAGACTGATTTATTTTAGAATTAAGTCTCTTGGTGGCTATGTTACCATTTTCACTTTAAAAATTCAGTGTTTATCTTTTATGTTCGCTATAGAATAATGTTTTAGTTTTGAATGTTTAAATAAATAAGAGCGCAATATTATAAATAAACTGATTTTTAAAAGTCTATTCTGTTTAATTACAAACTTATTAGTCAATGTTTTCTCTATAATAATACAAAATAAGTCATTGTCCAGATGCCGCACTCAGTGCCGCGATGCGACCGCTCATGTAATTTTAGATTGCACGACTGACGCAGGGTTAATTTAGTATAGGCTGATTCTTACACCTTTCTTTTGTAATTGCCTATCCTCATTGTGTAGTATTGAGACTTCCTCCCATTTTACCCTGTCCTGTTTCCTATAGTTCATTATTCTCAAATTCTTTAATTTTCCATCTCAAGGCCAAGCTTTTGTGTCTTATATTATTTTCTCATTTGGCTGCACCTCTAATGGAAAAAGAACATTTATTTTTTGGATTTTGAGATGAGTTTCAGTTACAAAAAAATGTTTGTTTTACATTTACCAACATTTCATGTTTAGACTAACACTATCATTAACATAATTATAATAATTTTATTTCTATATAATTATGTATGTAAGAAGCACAAATTATTGCTATAAAAAGGCACGTGTGAAAAAAAATTATTTAGGTCATTGGAAGGAAATCAAAAATGTTTTTATTTTGGCAGTGATAGTGGTCACACTTCATATTAAAAATCACTTTGATATATTGTACAATTCTTTGTATTTCTATTTTTAACATTCTGTTAACTACATTATACTGATAACTGTAATTTCATTGTGTATCGTGTGAGGAGACTTTGCACTGATAAAACATTACTATTAAACAAAACATTTTCATCAGAAGTGTTTCTGTGGGGGCTTCTGGATAGTTCATAAGGTCAGTTTTGAACAGAAAATAAACACGCCTGTGATAAGTGTGAATATGCATTTTATCTATTAGTTCACATATTGTAAGGGTACTTAACACAAACAATTTCAGTTGATAAATAACTTAAAAAAGTGTTCAGGTAATGGAAGCAACTCAGCATTTCATGTCAGCATCGATTTAATATCGTTTGATTTGTCAGTGTCCTCCTGACAGATATCTGACTGACACCAAACAATGAAAGTGTTTGAATTTCGTGACTCGACCCTTTGTCGTAAGCTGATTTTGTAAATTTATAGTATGCTTGCTTTTGATTCTAGACATTATTTTAGTATCTGCTGACTCAAAAAGTGAATGTTGTTTATTATTACATCTCCTAGATGATATTATCTTTCCTGGTTGCTTATAACATGCAGAAGCATAGCTCAGAACTGATTTTGTGACAAGGCTGGATTAAGAGGAGCTAAGGGCAAATATATACAGGGTGTTCCAACCGCACGAGGACGGAGCACTGCTCTCAAACAAAAACTTTTCAAAGAAAACCAATTACGGTTATATATAATTATATATGGTAACTGGGGGCACATTTCTAAATATTTACGACTCTACAGGGTGTCCTAATTTCGAGCCACATATTAAAGTTGCTCTTTTAAGGGAATGGTGTACAGTTTATACCCTATTTCACGAGTCTACTGAGGTGAACAGCTGATCAGCAAGTGACATTTTTGTATTAGTCTGCGACGCTGGCAATAATGAATCGGGTGTGAATCTAGTAAAACTTATTTTGTTTTTGTATGCAAATGGACTTTCTAAATAAAAGATCTGTTAGCAAGCACAAATGAATCTATAGCGTACAAAAAACAAAACAAATTTATGGGACTTTTTACATATTGAAATTCTAAATATTTAAATTAGTTTCACGACAAAAAGCAGACCGCCGGCAGGAGACAAGGAATCACCTACGGGAGTCTCCTTCCTACCATACATTAAAGGCATTACGAGTAGAATAGGAAGGTTGCTGCAGAAACACCAATGTCATGACTATCTACAAGCCGACTAATAAAATCCAGCAACTCCTAACATCAGTAAAGGAGCGACTCCCTGAGCGGTGCCGGCATATACAGAATACCGTGTTCCTGGGGTAAAGTAGCTGCCAAACACGCATCAAGGAGCATGAACGAAACTGTCGACTGGGACAAACTGATAACTCAGCGGGGGCCGAACACGCACTCCAAGACGGCCACAATGTTTTGTTCGACCAAACTGAAGTCCTATCAACACCCACCCACTACTCAGTCCGAATGTACAGAGAAGCAATTGAAATCTACAAACACAATGATAATTTCAATAGAAAAGAAGATGGCCTTTCTTTAAACAAAACGTGGTTCCCAATTCTAAAAAAAACAGCACAAAAACCACGTCACTCAAGGGACCCAGAGTACCCCCACCAGACAACTCAGTCCGCCTATAAAAACCGCACGCCCATGACATTAGAATTAGCCATGAAAGCCTTCATTCTTCAATTTAATTAGTTTGTTATTATCTTGTTTTTGCAACAAAGTAATCACAGAATTAAAGAATCACTCCTTAAGGTTTGAACATGCAACTTGATTGTTATGATATAAAATGTGTTATCATCATGTTACAAATAATGCATTGGACTTTTAAAAACAAATATCTCGAAAACTATTAGCTTTAGACACTTCTAACATGTTTTTATTGTGGAAGTACGAGAAAATGAGATTTTTCGGTCAGTTGTTGTATACAGGATAGCACAAAAAGTATGATAAGTTATTTACCGAAATAATACTGTAAGTACTAGAAGTTTGACCATAAAAAATAACGGAATAGAAAATAAAATTGTAACTTGTATGTATCTCGCAAACTATCAACTTTTGGACTAAGGTATGTTTAGGTCAATTCACATATTTTGGTCTGTAGTATCTCCAGTTTCGAGATTTCCCCCAACCTTTCGCAGACACCCTGTATATAGGTATATCAAATCGCCAACATTTCCTAATAAGCATAAGGTTTTTTGTACTCAGTTATGTACATTCAAGTAGGGACTAAGGACAGTACTATGAAAATTAGTAAATAAACGAATATAGATATAAAAATATCATAGAGACAACTTTTGTCTTGAGAACCACTTTCTACTCTGCTTTTGCGCGAACCACGACCGCACAAGCCGCTTGGCGGCGGCTGTGAGGACCGTGGCAGTGGATCGCCTTCTAGATCGACGCGAAGTGACCTCCAATATTCTAGATGTTGCTTTGTGGTTGACCAGACCTTTCTCGAAGCAGCAACGGGGACTATATATATATATATTATATATATATATATATATAGGTGAAAAATTAAAGCTTCCGCCTTTTGTTGGGTACTTCGACAAAATGTAAGCAAAGAGGACTCTTTATACTTTTTTAATTCTCTCTAGCTTTCAATGGACTTTGCCATCATCATCAGGAGCTGCAATTACAATGATAACAGTAGCAACAATAGTGTAAAATGAATTTAAATTGACTCAACTTACAGTAGTATGTGAGGATGTTGCTAATTGTTGTTTACGTATAGGATGAGGGAAACGTCCAGTAACATGGTGAGAGCTGGATAGATGGTACAATGGTCAAAATTATATAAACTATGACAAGAACAAGTTAAAAACAGATTAAAATTATTTTAAAAAACATTAAGCATTACATCGTGAAGCCACTTGATGATTGCACAAAATGGTGGTTATGGATAATGAGTGAGATGAACCCTTTGACAGAAGGCCGAAGGTTGTCAATGTCTGTGTAGAAAGATGGAACGAATTGTGGGTGTGTGCCAACGTTGCAAAATCACTTCAGATGATGTGATTTTCAGAATGTATGAAGAAATTGTTAAACCGACCAGAGGCAGTTGAATAAACTATATTTTAATTAATGGGAAATTAAATTAACAATTATTATTAAATCGTGAGAAGAGAATTATTAGAATTTGAGTGAATGAAATTTACTGGTGGAATCGACCAAGATACAGATTCTATTTATGGTTGTGAAGAGTCAAAATTTGGGGAGATATGTAAGTTCTCCAATTTTTCGCAGTTTAGCAAATATGAGTAAATGACACTCAGTTGTTTAACATCTGTCTTTTGTTGATACGGTTGTTATTCATGAAAATGTGGGACATTTCCAGGAATAAACGTTTGGAAAGGTGTTTTTCTTTATCAAGAACTTTGATACTTGTGTAATTCATAGAATGCCCTGTTGTGTTAACATGAGATGCTAGAGCGCATCTTTCAGGATGAAGCCTAGAATCACTTTTGTGTGATGTAATCCTTCCTTAAGAGATCTGGAGGTCTGACCTATGTATATTTGGTTGCAGTTGTTGCAATTGATGGAGTAGACTGTGTTGGTTAAGCCAAGAAGCGGGACTTTGTCTTTCATTTTTGAAAAAATGCAGTTTATAGTGAGGACGGATTTGCAAGCAATTCGAAAGTTCAAAGGACTGCACAATCTGATCAGCTTAGGGGTCAGTTCCTTGATATAGGGCAGGACAGCAAAACCAGGTCTGGAGTCCGGGTTGGTGCTTGTACTGTTTGATTGATGCTATTGTTTGGAATTACATCAGTTCCGTTATTAGGGGTTGGCGACTATTACCTGCCTCATCAGAGTTTCGCAGAATATTGGAAGGTGAACTAAATAAGATCTTGTTAATCAGACACTTCGGATAACCATTATTGATGAACAGTTTTGATAGTTTACGTAAATTTGAGGTGTGGAAGTATTATCTGAGATGCTGATTACCCTTGTTTTCATCTGTTTTTCCAAATTGATTTTAATCCCTAGCTTATGGTATGACCTAAAATTGAGAAAACCGACCTGAGGCCATAGGTTTCTGGTACCAGTCTACCAATAACTGTTGTTGTTGGTGCGGATGAGTCTTGTTGTCTAGAAATGGGACAGACAGGTTATCATCTTCTTTTTCAATGGTAAATTGGATGTAGGGGTCATAGCTGTAATTCCAAACAATAGCAACAATCCAAACAGTACAAGCACCAACCGGACTCCAGACCTGGTTTTGCTGTCCTGCCCTATATCAAGGAAATGACCCCTAAGCTGATCAGATTTTGCAGTACTTTGAACAACTCGAATGCTTTGCAAATCCGTCCTCACTATAAACTGCATTTTTTCAAAAATGAAAGACAAAGTCCCGCTGCTTGGCTTAACCAACACAGTCTACTCCATCAATTGCAACAACTGCAACCAAATATACATAGGTCAGACATCCAGATCTCTTAAAGGAAGGATTACATCACACAAAAGTGATTCTAGGCTTCATCCTGAAAGATGCGCTCTAGCATCTCATGTTAACACAACAGGGCATTCTATGAATTACACAAGTATCAAAGTTCTTGATAAAGAAAAACACCTTTCCAAACGTTTATTCCTGGAAATGTCCCACATTTTCATGATTAACAACTGTATCAACAAAAAGACAGATGTTAAACAACTGAGTGTCATTTACTCATATTTGCTAAACTGCGAAAAATTGGAGAACTTACATATCTCCCCAAATTTTGACTCTTCACAACCATAAATAGAATCTGTATCTTGGTCGATTCCACCAGTAAATTTCATTCCACTCAAATTCTAATAATTCTCTTCTCACGATTTAATAATAATTGTTAATTTAATTTCCCATTAATTAAAATATAGTTTATTCAACTGCCTCTGGTCGGTTTAACAATTTCTTACATAACATTCTGAAAATCACATCATCTGAAGTGATTTTGCAACGTTGGCACACACCCACAATTCGTTCCATCTTTCTACACAGACATTGACAACCTTCGGCCTTCTGTCAAATGGTTCATCTCACTCATATTATTCCATGACCACCATTTTGTGCAATCATCAAGTGGCTTCACGATGTAATGCTTTAATGTTTTTAAATAATTTTTAATCTGTTTTTAACTTGTTCTTGTCATATTTTATATAATTTTGACCATTGTACCATCTATCCAGCTCTCACCATGTTACTGGACGTTTCCCTCATCCTATACGTAAACAACAATTAGCAACATCCTCACATACTACTGAAAGTTGAGCCAATTTAAATTCATTTTACACTATTGTTGCTACTGTTATCATTGTAATTGCAGCTCCTGATGATGATGGCAAAGTCCATTGAAAGCTAGAGAGAATTAAAAAAGTATAAAGTCCTCTTTGCTTAAATTTTGTCGAAGTACCCAACAAAAGGCGGAAGCTTTAATTTTTCACCTAACTGGTCTAGACAATGACCACGTCTCAAGTTATATATATATATATATATATATATATATATATATATCTCGGTGGCCGGGAGATGCAAGCAGAGTACAGATTACACCAGAGCAGAGCGGAGTGGAGTATAGTGCAGTCAATGGCGGCATAAGAATTAGTCAGACATAAATAGTGGTGTACATAAATGTTCTATCAAGTTAAATAAATTAGTGCCTTTCTTTTTTTGGAATCCAGTGTTTTAATCCACACCCAAAAGAACCCAGAAAACCGCTACAATATATTATAAAAAGACCTTGAAAGTTTTTCATAAATTTTCCTTTTGCTGCTTACAGCAGGATCCGGACTTTTCGTTATGCTAAAGAACCCTATTTCAGTGACCTAAATTCAAATGTGAAACCATTATAGGGTTTTTGTACGGTTTTTAAACAAATTGTGTCCCATTACCAGGCTATATAATTAAAAGATTTCGACCGAAATTTACTATTCCACTTGTTGAGGCAGCAGGTATGAAGTACCTAACATTAATCTTATTATTCCAGACCAAATACTAAAGAACTATATGAGAAATGAGAGAGATTCGATTAATTCTCATAGTTTGTGCTTAAATTAATAAATAATAGTACATTTCTTTACTGACTGATATGCATATCAAGTAATGTTCACCTCCTAGTTTTCCTGGCCGAAATATAAAATTACAGATGTTGAAGCTTTACTAAAATGTTGACTGCCCAGGCAGTGTTTTGCAAAGGTAAAGAAAATCATTGAATACTAGTTATGAAAACATTTAGATAAATGAGCAATATGGCCATTTATTTGTTATGCGCTGGATTCGTCGCTCTCGGCGTATCTCCGCTGACTAGGTGGCGTACAATGTACATGTGAGAATCTACTTTCCAAAAGTCTATGTAACATCTCAAATACCAGCTATTTTCTCCTGGAATGTAGTATTAACCACACTTTTTTTTCATATTCTATAGAGAAGGGACCAATCTATAATTTTCTTTCTATGGCAATTTATTTCATTCCAGAGTCACTCCATCCAAAAGATCCAAAGCACCCGCCGGAAATATCCTATTACAGAACAAGAGGTGCAGGCTCAGTTATCAAGCCCTCAAGCAATGGCTGCACTGAACATAGGCTTAACATTAGAGACCGTCAAGCGTGCTATTCGGGAGAAGTTAGAACAAACTGGCATTGGATATTCGCAAGCGGACGCTTTGGTTGAAGCGGCCCTCAATATTCAACATGAACATGTTGCAGAACATGACCAAGATGCATTAGAACCTAATTTCCACGTAGACTGCGCCGTGCGGGAGGCTATAGCCCCTGTTAAACCCTCGGAGTGTCATAATGTTCCTGTAGATGTAGCAAATGAAATGACAGAGCAGGTGGTCGAGGAATCTGTCAGGCCTATTCCTTCAGCAAAGAAAACATTGACCTTAGAAGAGGAAAATAGACTTCTAAAAGAAGCAAGGCTGTGTAAGATTTGTATGGATGCTGAAGTTGGTATAGTGTTTTACCATGTGGACATCTAGTTACTTGTGTAAATTGTGCGCCAAATCTTGAAGATTGCCCTGTTTGTAGATCTGCTATAAAAGCTTCAGTCAGGACCTTCCTGGCATAACATTAATAAGTAAAAGTTTTAATTCATGTTTGAAAATGATCACATTTCAAAATCTCTATGTGGAATGAGTCGCGATATTAAAAACAGTTAATGTGTGGGTGCTACATTGGAATCCAAGTATCGCTTTTTTCTTCTAAAGTTAAAAAATGTGATATTCTGCAACAACCATAAAAATATGTAACGGTATACAACTATGGAACTTAGAAACTTAATCTGCCATCTCACTGATGATCGATGTTATAATTTACTACTATTTAACACGTGTGCAGTGTGACCTTCTACTGATTTGATTTTCATTGCTAATCTTTTATACTGATTTAACAAAAGTTTTATCACTACGTTTACACGTCCGCTATATGGCCTAAAATAGTTAAAACGGTTTATTGTAAATCGATTTTGTTATAATAATTCACACAATTGAAGTGGTGTATATCTTTTTGGATCATGTGAACTACTGTAGCAGCAGTATTGCTAAGGGCTAGTCCTACACACAACTTTCAAGTTGTCTTGCAAGTTTTGTAATTCATACTTTATAGTATACTAGTCTAGACCCGCGGCTCCGCTCGCGTAGAAGTAGTGTAAAGTATAGGCCATCCATTTTGCATTAGTGTGAAGGAGAAGGGTTTCAGAGGAAGAAATACAATACTCAATGAAATCCAGTAACTACTTTGGCAATTAACTAAAATGTATTAAAATATCCATACTAGCCTCTGACCGCTTGAATCTGCAGGTATCTGTTTTTTTATGAAACTTGTTATTATGAATGATAAATAATAGTAGAATAGATAACAGCATGGTTGCCTGGTCACATTTCATGAAGCCATATTTTGTTCCTATGGACTTACTTTTTCAGTTGTTTGAACAAGTTATTCAGGGTGGTCATAACGCAAAATGGACAATTTCTCAAAAAAAAAATAGATGTGCATTTTCACACTCCTTGATTCTCTTTACCATAAGCTTTTTTTGATATAATGCTTTAGGTGTTTTGTAATAAAGCGTTAATTTCCGATCACGTTTCGGGTCTTTACTTCCGCGGGACAAAATGGTGGTACATTCATATTTATCAATTTTTATAACGTGCTAAACTCGAAACTTCAAATTTTAATAGATATTTTTTTAAATTTCCTACTTTATCACATTTTCAGTAAATATTTTTTTTAAACCTAATTTCTTCATAATTTTGCAAAATGGTCACATGTTTAGAAAACAAATCTGAAAACATGCTGTCGCTGTTTATAAGCAACGTCCATAATCGTGCTGCTACTGTTTTACTGCTCTTTGTCTTTGTTATTCCAAACGTAGTTGTTTCTAGAAAGGAAAGTCACAACTTTCAGAACACCCTGTATACTTTGAAAAGCTTAGCGCTTCATAGATGGCACTGTAGCCACATATATGCTTGTATATGCTCATATAGGCAGCGCCATCTATGAATTACTATCATACATAGCATACATAATAAATAGAGAAACAGCTGTTACAACTTCTCATAGATGACGGCTACAATATCTATTTTATCTCGGATAATTTTCTAGGCTCAAGAATATGGCATGAGGTTGGCTTTCTTCGGGTAGAATATGTTAATTAATGATTGGAACACATTTTTAACTACTATTTAAAAACACGTAACCTAAGCCATTACTGCCAGCGGGAGCTGGCAACCGCGCTCTTGCTAGCTTGACGCTGGCGGTGGAATACTTATCGCGATAGATTCCATCGCAAAATCGACCATGAGTCCGCGGATAAAACCATGCCTACAACCTACAAGTGTACAAATGTTTACGTCTCTCTCCGTATTGTGGATCATGCGTGATGCTGACAGACAGCAACAAATAACAATTAGGAGAAAAAATAGTTACTAAGTCGGCGAGATTGTTGCTGAAATTGTTTTTAAACAACAGTGAACGAACAGTCGACGAATAGAAATAGATCTTCGAAAGCTAGAGCTTAAGTTATAAGAGTGTACTTCTGCAATACTTTGCCTTCTACCCAAAGAAATTCAAGGATATTTTCTCCTAACATTTAAGGCAATTAACTATGAAAATATATATTACGTATATATATAATACGTATATATTATTATTCATAGTTAATTGCCTTAAATGTTAGGAGAAAATATCCTTGAATTTCTTTGGGTAGAAGGCAAAGTATTGCAGAAGTACACTCTTATAACTTAAGCTCTAGCTTTCGAAGATCTATTTCTATTCGTCGACTGTTCGTTCACTGTTGTTTAAAAACAATTTCAGCAACAATCTCGCCGACTTAGTAACTATTTTTTCTCCTAATTGTTATTTGTTGCTGTCTGTCAGCATCACGCATGATCCACAATACGGAGAGAGACGTAAACATTTGTACACTTGTAGGTTGTAGGCATGGTTTTATCCGCGGACTCATGGTCGATTTTGCGATGGAATCTATCGCGATAAGTATTCCACCGCCAGCGTCAAGCTAGCAAGAGCGCGGTTGCCAGCTCCCGCTGGCAGTAATGGCTTAGGTTACGTGTTTTTAAATAGTAGTTAAAAATGTGTTCCAATCATTAATTAACATATTCTACCCGAAGAAAGCCAACCTCATGCCATATTCTTGAGCCTAGAAAATTATCCGAGTAAAATAAGATATTGTAGCCGTCATCTATGAGAAGTTGTAACAGCTGTTTCTCTATTTTTATGTATGCTATGTATGATAGTAATTCATAGATGGCGCTGCCTATATGAGCATATACAAGCATATATGTGGCTACAGTGCCATCTATGAAGCGCTAAGCTTTTCAAAGTATACAGGGTGTTCTGAAAGTTGTGACTTTCCTTTCTAGAAACAACTACGTTTGGAATAACAAAGACAAAGAGCAGTAAAACAGTAGCAGCACGATTATGGACGTTGCTTATAAACAGCGACAGCATGTTTTCAGATTTGTTTTCTAAACATGTGACCATTTTGCAAAATTATGAAGAAATTAGGTTTAAAAAAAATATTACTGAAAATGTGATAAAGTAGGAAATTTAAAAAAATATCTATTAAAATTTGAAGTTTCGAGTTTAGCACGTTATAAAAATTGATAAATATGAATGTACCACCATTTTGTCCCGCGGAAGTAAAGACCCGAAACGTGATCGGAAATTAACGCTTTATTACAAAACACCTAAAGCATTATATCAAAAAAAAGCTTATGGTAAAGAGAATCAAGGAGTGTGAAAATGCACATCTATTTTTTTTTTTGAGAAATTGTCCATTTTGCGTTATGACCACCCTGATAACTTGTTCAAACAACTGAAAAAGTAAGTCCATAGGAACAAAATATGGCTTCATGAAATGTGACCAGGCAACCATGCTGTTATCTATTCTACTATTATTTATCATTCATAAATAACAAGTTTCATAAAAAAACAGATACCTGCAGATTCAAGCGGTCAGAGGCTAGTATGGATATTTAATACATTTTAGTTAATTGCCAAAGTAGTTACTGGATTTCATTGAGTATTGTATTTCTTCCTCTGAAACCCTTCTCCTTCACACTAATGCAAAATGGATGGCCTATACTTTACACTACTTCTACGCGAGCGGAGCCGCGGGTCTAGACTAGTATACTATAAAGTATGAATTACAAAACTTGCAAGACAACTTGAAAGTTGTGTGTAGGACTAGCCCTTAGCAATACTGCTGCTACGTAGTTCACATGATCCAAAAAGATATACACCACTTCAATTGTGTGAATTATTATAACAAAATCGATTTACAATAAACCGTTTTAACTATTTTAGGCCATATAGCGGACGTGTAAACGTAGTGATAAAACTTTTGTTAAATCAGTATAAAAGATTAGCAATGAAAATCAAATCAGTAGAAGGTCACACTGCACACGTGTTAAATAGTAGTAAATTATAACATCGATCATCAGTGAGATGGCAGATTAAGTTTCTAAGTTCCATAGTTGTATACCGTTACATATTTTTATGGTTGTTGCAGAATATCACATTTTTTAACTTTAGAAGAAGAAAAAGCGATACTTGGATTCCAATGTAGCACCCACACATTAACTGTTTTTAATATCGCGACTCATTCCACATAGAGATTTTGAAATGTGATCATTTTCAAACATGAATTAAAACTTTTACTTATTAATGTTATGCCAGGAAGGTCCTGACTGAAGCTTTTATAGCAGATCTACAAACAGGGCAATCTTCAAGATTTGGCGCACAATTTACACAAGTAACTAGATGTCCACATGGTAAAAACACTATACCAACTTCAGCATCCATACAAATCTTACACAGCCTTGCTTCTTTTAGAAGTCTATTTTCCTCTTCTAAGGTCAATGTTTTCTTTGCTGAAGGAATAGGCCTGACAGATTCCTCGACCACCTGCTCTGTCATTTCATTTGCTACATCTACAGGAACATTATGACACTCCGAGGGTTTAACAGGGGCTATAGCCTCCCGCACGGCGCAGTCTACGTGGAAATTAGGTTCTAATGCATCTTGGTCATGTTCTGCAACATGTTCATGTTGAATATTGAGGGCCGCTTCAACCAAAGCGTCCGCTTGCGAATATCCAATGCCAGTTTGTTCTAACTTCTCCCGAATAGCACGCTTGACGGTCTCTAATGTTAAGCCTATGTTCAGTGCAGCCATTGCTTGAGGGCTTGATAACTGAGCCTGCACCTCTTGTTCTGTAATAGGATATTTCCGGCGGGTGCTTTGGATCTTTTGGATGGAGTGACTCTGGAATGAAATAAATTGCCATAGAAAGAAAATTATAGATTGGTCCCTTCTCTATAGAATATGAAAAAAAAGTGTGGTTAATACTACATTCCAGGAGAAAATAGCTGGTATTTGAGATGTTACATAGACTTTTGGAAAGTAGATTCTCACATGTACATTGTACGCCACCTAGTCAGCGGAGATACGCCGAGAGCGACGAATCCAGCGCATAACAAATAAATGGCCATATTGCTCATTTATCTAAATGTTTTCATAACTAGTATTCAATGATTTTCTTTACCTTTGCAAAACACTGCCTGGGCAGTCAACATTTTAGTAAAGCTTCAACATCTGTAATTTTATATTTCGGCCAGGAAAACTAGGAGGTGAACATTACTTGATATGCATATCAGTCAGTAAAGAAATGTACTATTATTTATTAATTTAAGCACAAACTATGAGAATTAATCGAATTCTCTCTCATTTCTCATATAGTTCTTTAGTATTTGGTCTGGAATAATAAGATTAATGTTAGGTACTTCATACCTGCTGCCTCAACAAGTGGAATAGTAAATTTTCGGTCGAAATCTTTTAATTATATAGCCTGGTAATGGGACACAATTTGTTTAAAAACCGTACAAAAACCCTATAATGGTTTCACATTTGAATTTAGGTCACTGAAATAGGGTTCTTTAGCATAACGAAAAGTCCGGATCCTGCTGTAAGCAGCAAAAGGAAAATTTATGAAAAACTTTCAAGGTCTTTTTATAATAATATATTGTAGCGGTTTTCTGGGTTCTTTTGGGTGTGGATTAAAACACTGGATTCCAAAAAAAGAAAGGCACTAATTTATTTAACTTGATAGAACATTTATGTACACCACTATTTATGTCTGACTAATTCTTATGCCGCCATTGACTGCACTATACTCCACTCCGCTCTGCTCTGGTGTAATCTGTACTCTGCTTGCATCTCCCGGCCACCGAGATATATATATATATATATATATATATATATATATATAACTTGAGACGTGGTCATTGTCTAGACCAGTTAGGTGAAAAATTAAAGCTTCCGCCTTTTGTTGGGTACTTCGACAAAATTTAAGCAAAGAGGACTTTATACTTTTTTAATTCTCTCTAGCTTTCAATGGACTTTGCCATCATCATCAGGAGCTGCAATTACAATGATAACAGTAGCAACAATAGTGTAAAATGAATTTAAATTGGCTCAACTTCAGTAGTATGTGAGGATGTTGCTAATTGTTGTTTACGTATAGGATGAGGGAAACGTCCAGTAACATGGTGAGAGCTGGATAGATGGTACAATGGTCAAAATTATATAAAATATGACAAGAACAAGTTAAAAACAGATTAAAAATTATTTAAAAACATTAAAGCATTACATCGTGAAGCCACTTGATGATTGCACAAAATGGTGGTCATGGAATAATATGAGTGAGATGAACCTTTGACAGAAGGCCGAAGGTTGTCAATGTCTGTTAGAAAGATGGAACGAATTGTGGGTGTGTGCCAACGTTGCAAAATCACTTCAGATGATGTGATTTTCAGAATGTTATGTAAGAAATTGTTAAACCGACCAGAGGCAGTTGAATAAACTATATTTTAATTAATGGGAAATTAAATTAACAATTATTATTAAATCGTGAGAAGAGAATTATTAGAATTTGAGTGGAATGAAATTTACTGGTGGAATCGACCAAGATACAGATTCTATTTATGGTTGTGAAGAGTCAAAATTTGGGGAGATATGTAAGTTCTCCAATTTTTCGCAGTTTAGCAAATATGAGTAAATGACACTCAGTTGTTTAACATCTGTCTTTTTGTTGATACAGTTGTTAATCATGAAAATGTGGGACATTTCCAGGAATAAACGTTTGGAAAGGTGTTTTTCTTTATCAAGAACTTTGATACTTGTGTAATTCATAGAATGCCCTGTTGTGTTAACATGAGATGCTAGAGCGCATCTTTCAGGATGAAGCCTAGAATCACTTTTGTGTGATGTAATCCTTCCTTTAAGAGATCTGGATGTCTGACCTATGTATATTTGGTTGCAGTTGTTGCAATTGATGGAGTAGACTGTGTTGGTTAAGCCAAGCAGCGGGACTTTGTCTTTCATTTTTGAAAAAATGCAGTTTATAGTGAGGACGGATTTGCAAGCAATTCGAAAGTTCAAAGGACTGCAAAATCTGATCAGCTTAGGGGTCAGTTCCTTGATATAGGGCAGGACAGCAAAACCAGGTCTGGAGTCCGGGTTGGTGCTTGTACTGTTTGGATTGTTGCTATTGTTTGGAATTACAGCTATGACCCCTACATCCAATTTACCATTGAAAAAGAAGATGATAACCTGTCTGTCCCCTTTCTAGACACAAGACTCATCCGCACCAACAACAATAGTTATTGGTAGACTGGTACCAGAACCTATGGCCTCAGGTTGGTTTCTCAATTTTAGGTCATACCATAAGCTAGGATTAAAATCAATTTGGTAAAACAGATGAAAACAAGGGTAATCAGCATCTCAGATAATACTTCCACACCTCAAATTTACGTAAACTATCAAACTGTTCATCAATAATGGTTATCCGAAGTGTCTGATTAACAAGATCTTATTTAGTTCACCTTCCAATATTTGCCGAACTCTGATGATGCAGGTAATAGTCGCACAACCCCTAATAACGGAACTGATGTAATTCCAAACAATAGCATCAATCCAAACAGTACAAGCACCAACCCGGACTCCAGACCTGGTTTTGCTGTCCTGCCCTATATCAAGGAACTGACCCCTAAGCTGATCAGATTGTGCAGTCCTTTGAACTTTCGAATTGCTTGCAAATCCGTCCTCACTATAACTGCATTTTTTCAAAAATGAAAGACAAAGTCCCGCTGCTGGCTTAACCAACACAGTCTCTACTCCATCAATTGCAACAACTGCAACCAATATACATAGGTCAGACCTCCAGATCTCTTAAAGGAAGATTACATCACACAAAAGTGATTCTAGGCTTCATCCTGAAAGATGCGCTCTAGCATCTCATGTTAACACAACAGGGCATTCTATGAACTACACAAGTATCAAAGTTCTTGATAAAGAAAAACACCTTTCCAAACGTTTATTCCTGGAAATGTCCCACATTTTCATGAATAACAACGTATCAACAAAAAGACAGATGTTAAACAACTGAGTGTCATTTACTCATATTTGCTAAACTGCGAAAAATTGGAGAACTTACATATCTCCCCAAATTTGACTCTTCACAACCATAAATAGAATCTGTATCTTGGGTCGATTCCACCAGTAAATTTCATTCCACTCAAATTCTAATAATTCTCTTCTCACGATTTAATAATAATTGTTAATTTAATTTCCCATTAATTAAAATATAGTTTATTCAACTGCCTCTGGTCGGTTTAACAATTTCTTACATAACATTCTGAAAATCACATCATCTGAAGTGATTTGGCAACGTTGGCACACACCCACAATTCGTTCCATCTTTCTACACAGACATTGACAACCTTCGGCCTTCTGTCAAAGGGTTCATCTCACTCATTATTCCATAACCACCATTTTGTGCAATCATCAAGTGGCTTCACGATGTAATGCTTAATGTTTTTAAATAATTTTTAATCTGTTTTTAACTTGTTCTTGTCATTTTATATAATTTTGACCATTGTACCATCTATCCAGCTCTCACCATGTTACTGGACGTTTCCCTCATCCTATACGTAAACAACAATTAGCAACATCCTCACATACTACTGTAAGTTGAGTCAATTTAAATTCATTTTACACTATTGTTGCTACTGTTATCATTGTAATTGCAGCTCCTGATGATGATGGCAAAGTCCATTGAAAGCTAGAGAGAATTAAAAAAGTATAAAGAGTCCTCTTTGCTTACATTTTGTCGAAGTACCCAACAAAAGGCGGAAGCTTTAATTTTTCACCTATATATATATATATATATATTATATATTAGTCCCCGTTGCTGCTTCGAGAAAGGTCTGGTCAACCACAAAGCAACATCTAGAATATTGGAGGTCACTTCGCGTCGATCTAGAAGGCGATCCACTGCCACGGTCCTCACAGCCGCCGCCAAGCGGCTTGTGCGGTCGTGGTTCGCGCAAAAGCAGAGTAGAAAGTGGTTCTCAAGACAAAAGTTGTCTCTATGATATTTTTATATCTATATTCGTTTATTTACTAATTTTCATAGTACTGTCCTTAGTCCCTACTTGAATGTACATAACTGAGTACAAAAAACCTTATGCTTATTAGGAAATGTTGGCGATTTGATATACCTATATACAGGGTGTCTGCGAAAGGTTGGGGGAAATCTCGAAACTGGAGATACTACAGACCAAAATATGTGAATTGACCTAAACATACCTTAGTCCAAAAGTTGATAGTTTGCGAGATACATACAAGTTACAATTTTATTTTCTATTCCGTTATTTTTTATGGTCAAACTTCTAGTACTTACAGTATTATTTCGGTAAATAACTTATCATAACTTTTTTGTGCTATCCTGTATACAACAACTGACCGAAAAATCTCATTTTCTCGTACTTCCACAATAAAAAACATGTTAGAAGTGTCTAAAGCTAATAGTTTTCGAGATATTTGTTTTTAAAAGTTCCAATGCATTATTTGTAACATGATGATAACACATTTTTATATCATAACAATCAAGTTGCATGTTCAAACCTTAAGGAGTGATTCTTTAATTCTGTGATTACTTTGTTGCAAAACAAGATAATAACAAACTAATTAAATTGAAGAATGAAGGCTTTCATGGCTAATTCTAATGTCATGGGCGTGCGGTTTTATAGGCGGACTGAGTTGTCTGGTGGGGGTACTCTGGGTCCCTTGAGTGACGTGGTTTTTGTGCTGTTTTTTTTTAGAATTGGGAACCACGTTTTGTTTAAAGAAAGGCCATCTTCTTTTCTATTGAAATTATCATTGTGTTTGTAGATTTCAATTGCTTCTCTGTACATTCGGACTGAGTAGTGGGTGGGTGTTGATAGGACTTCAGTTTGGTCGAACAAAACATTGTGGCCGTCTTGGAGTGCGTGTTCGGCCCCCGCTGAGTTATCAGTTTGTCCCAGTCGACAGTTTCTTTCATGCTCCTTGATGCGTGTTTGGCAGCTACTTTACCCCAGGAACACGGTATTCTGTATATGCCGGCACCGCTCAGGGAGTCGCTCCTTTACTGATGTTAGGAGTTGCTGGATTTTATTAGTCGGCTTGTAGATAGTCATGACATTGTGTTTCTGCAGCAACCTTCCTATTCTACTCGTAATGCCTTTAATGTATGGTAGGAAGGAGACTCCCGTAGGTGATTCCTTGTCTCCTGCCGGCGGTCTGCTTTTTGTCGTGAAACTAATTTAAATATTTAGAATTTCAATATGTAAAAAGTCCCATTAATTTGTTTTGTTTTTTTGTACGCTATAGATTCATTTTGTGCTTGCTAACAGATCTTTTATTTAGAAAGTCCATT